ATACAAAGCTTAAACTTCATGAAGTTGATGAGAAGGAAGTCACAAAAATTTTGGTAGAAGTCACATTAGCGAAAAGTGAAGCAGAAATTGTAAGTTTTGCAATTTTTTTTCTTTCTGAATTCAAAAATTGACCCAATACAAATCTTGAGAGTCACTCAAGAATAAGGTTTACTGCATGTCCATCTTTGCCATGTAGCAATTATTATGTTAAAGGTTTACTACATGCCCATCGTTGCCATGTAGAAATTATTATGTTAAAGAACCTAAGCACTTTGACTTTGTCTAACATTTACTGAGGTTAGTCTGGCTGACTGTTATTTCTAAGTAGTGAATTTGGTCCTCATTGAGTGTCCCGTACAAAATTTGATATCAAATACCACAACAAACGGTGCCTTGTCATAAAATCAACTAACCTAATTAAATTAGTGCTTCAGTGTTTGGTAATAGTTCACAAGGATTGTCTGACATACTATTACTACTGAGTAGTGAATTTGATCTTCACTGGGCACCTCATTTATAATTCAACATCAAATAATCCAACAGGTATTGACCTGTCATAAATTTAACCAACCTTGCCTAACCTTGTCAAAGAGGCTAAGAATTTAAGTTAAACTAAAAACCTCTTGAAGGGTTTCTGTCTGAATTTCTGGGATGAGTAGTTATCATTATTTACATTATCTTTGCGAGAATAGCCTAGTGGATTAAAGTGTTAATGAATTTGGTGATATAATGATTGAGAGTTCAGTCTCTGGGCTGGGCAGTGTGTACTTAGACTCGGTGAAAACAAGCGAGCAATAACTGAGCAATACTAAAAATGAGGACTAGACATGGGCATCAGAACGAGAACAATCTAACTCCATTGATTAAGGGAATGGTCCAGTTTAGCATTCCCTATACATTACTGTTGAAGCTTGGATAAGCATGGAATAATAATAATACAACACAAAATGTACGTAAACAAAATGTATTGAAACAAGGAAAAGGTACACAATATTTACAGTTAGTTTTGGTATATTCTTGGGAAGACTGTTCCTGTAGAATGGGTTGACTTAATCGCAGTCGGGCAGAGTCTCTGGATTGGATCTCTTGTTACTCCCTCCGTCTTCCTGGTACCAACCCATATTTATATCGTCGGTACTCCACTATGTAAGTTAGGTGGATCGTACCACAACAGTTACCCCGATTGATATACATCTGAGGAAGGCCAGAAGGCACAACGGCCAGAATGTTATGATAAAAGCAACAAAGATGAGGACAATACTCAAAATATAAATGTAAATACCTGAAAGGTATTGGGAAATGTAGGTGAAGAGTGATCATGGACAATATCAACAAGATAAATTTGCTTTTACCCATAAAATAAAACAATGATGTCCATATATATATATATATATATATATATATATATATATATATATATATATATATAGTCTTAAGGTGTACTATATTTATGGGATAAAGTGCTCAATATCAGAGATAGAGCATGTGTAAATATAAAAGTGAACATAGAAGTCAACACTTAGAGGCCTCTAAGTGTTGACTTCTATGTTCACTTTATATATATATATATATATATATATATATATATATATATATATATATAAAAAGCTTATAAGCAAAAGTGTTAATTCAGGTGTATGTTTATGGACAATCTTGGCTCTCCATAACTTCCTGTCTTTTATTTACATTATTCGGACTATTGTCCTCATCTTTGTCACCATATTTATCACAACACTGGATGTCAGTTATCTCCTATTAATTGCCCTCTTGGAGAACTTGCAGAGGGGAATTAACAGAAGATAACTTATATCCATTAGACATGGCATGTGGAACTAGAACAGTCTACCCCAGCGAGCGAAATAACGGGTTCAGTTTGACATTCCAACCACCTCAAGAAGGCTGGAGCATACAATGGCCAAAATGTTATGATAAATATGGCGACAAAGATGAAGACAATAGTTCGAATAATGTAAATAGTGTACATAATCCTTCATCTCAGAAATATAGATACTGAAAGGCCAAAACATTGTGATAAGTATGGCAACAAAGATGAGGACAATAGTCTGATAATGTAAATAGTGTACATAATACCTCATCTCAGAAATATAGACAGATTCCTGTCTTTTGTTGTTATAAGCAACTTTTCACTTTTCATCTCCACTATTTGTCTGTTCTTCTTTCCATTCACACAAACATATTAAATAGTTAATTCACTGTTTCCCCTTCTTCTCTTACTATCAGTATAACCTGTGATTGTTAAATTCTCCATGACTTCTTTCCTCATTATATGTCACAGAAATTTCAATTGTCTCTTAGAATAGAAAAATAAATCCTAGAATTTTTTAATTTTTTTTGAGTTTATCTTTACAATGGACAAAATTAAATGCAGGCAGCAAAAGAGAAAAATCAAATCTTTTTTTTTTTTTTTTTTTTTTTTGCTAAATTTTGAAAATGTTTTTATTTGTTTCTTCTTCTTTTAATTTAATTTGTAATTTTGGGGATTAGAAAAGAAATTCTATAAGATAAATTTTATAAATTTGTCTTGTTAAAATGTAACAAGAATTTAGAATCTCTGAGAACTATTGTCAGATTTTTAGAAGCGTGAATAGCAGAAGATAAACAACAGATTTTAGGTATAAATAATTGACTGAGACATTTTCTCAGCAACAAACATACAACAGTTAAAAAGTACTATAGTAAAAAATGGAACTATCATACAAATTGCAGTACTAGCCTAACATAAGAAAATTAGTAAGCTACAATATAATAAGTAAGAAACACACCTATAAGGTAAATAGATAAACAGAGTGTGGTAGGCATAAAGGGTTTTTGAGTGACAGATATGAAGTGATTGTGATGGACACTTATGTAGAGATTGCTGTTGGTGTGTATGAAATGATTGGGCTTGACAGATATGTGCGGATTATGCAGGTATGAATAGATTGTGATTGATAGATATGAACTGACTGAGATAGATATGTAACAGGGTTGTGTTGAATTGTTAATGTAATTTACCCCATGTTACATGTATTAGTAGTTAATAGAAGATTCGTTTTCTCTTTTTTTTTTATACAAAAAATGAAATGAATAAAACGTACAACAATAACATAACTTTAAGACGTGTTGAAATTAGTGACAAGAATGTGTATTTTTCTTTTCCTGATGTTATTTACAATATTGGTTTTGTATGTGTTAAATGTTTTCAGGGTTATTGTCTCCTTTTGTTTCTTTAAGAGTTTGAGTCTATTTGTTTATAATTGTTTTGAGAATTTTGTGGTTATGAGAAGCCTTTGAAACCATCAACTCTAGATTTTCATGCAGCGAAGAAGATACGTCTGTGCTGTTCTTTTTACTACTGCTACATTTGCTTGTGGTGGAAAGGTTGTTTTTTGTAATAATGAAGTTTCAGATTTTTATTTTTTGAATGATAAATATCATCATCATCATGAATCATTGCTGGTGGAAAGTTTGTTTTTAGAATGAAATTTTAGATCTTTATTTCTAGAATGATGAAATATCATTATTATCATGAATCATGACTGGTGGAAAGGTTGTTTTTACAATGATTTCAGATTTTTACTTCTAGAATGATGAAAAATCGTCATCATCAATCATAACGGATATGAATATAGACAGTCTTTGGATTCAGTAGGTCAAATCCCAAATCTTTTGTAACTTGTTTTAATGGTAGGTACTTATCGACAGTGGTATGCTAAATTGAAAATGCTGATTTTGATAAGGAATTATGTCTCTAACCACATTGCCTAAAATTGTTTTATGAGGAAGAAAAGTTTGAAGTAGAATTATTGTTAGTCATATTTTATACCACAGAACAGATTTAGTCTTGCCTTCAAAAAATTAATAAATGTATTGAGAAGCAAACTTTAACTGTGGTAAGTATTCCTGCTAATAAGAACGAATGTGGAACGGTTAGACAGATTTTGGTTAATATGGTTTTGGACACAAGCATATAAATGGATATATGTCAATACAGTTAAACATTATATATATATATATATATATATATATATATATATATATATATGAAAAGTTCCCTTTGGAATAATCCCTACTAATTTACATTTTGTTATATATTTCTCTGTGTGTGTCACAACAGAATTATAAACATATAGATATAATTTTATATATATATATATATATATATATATATATATAATCAGATATAAGATTCAATACATATTGGAGTCAATTATTAAGTGCTTTATTGGCAGGAGTTTCGTTCACATTAAATTATATAACTTTATATTAATAGCTAGATTTATCATTTTATTATATTGATAGATAAATACACACACATACACATTATATACACAAGTAGAATTATGAATATATAAATAGAAATATTAAACATATATAGATATATTGACCTTATTTTTCTAAAAAAGATATAATTTAGGGTAGTTGCAAAGTAATTACATCTGACCAAATAGGAAATAAAAAGTTAAAGTTAAATTTATGTAAATATTATTTATCAAAAATGTAATTACTTTGATTTTCAATGATTACCATTCCAACGGGAAGGCAAATTTTTTATTTGCCATTTAAATAAATCTGGGTTTTATCTATCCACAGAAAAGTTTGAAAGTCAGTTTTCTACTTTATTTCTAAGAGTTCTGCTTCTTCGGAAATGTTCTTGTGGTTGAAACAAATGCTTCATTTATACAAACAAGTAACAAGGAGCTTGTAAGGAACAGCATTTTTCATATTCCATTAAACTCAATGATGGTCCTTCCATGTACCAGTAGCTTGTAATGAATAACTTCTTTCATATTCCATCAGACCCAATGCAAGAATTTCTGTGGATGGTGTCTTAGTTTTGTTGTTGGCACTGGTTTTTCATTTTTTTGATAACCACCATTTTTCCATTTTCTGTTGACATGCAAAACCCATTTTTCATCACCTGTAAAATTGGGATGCAAGCACAGTTTTCAGGCAGTAGAGAGGGACGAGTGATTTTTCAGAAAACATAATCCATGACAATTGCTTTGATGATTGTGCTTGCATATGGAACTGGCATTTGTAAGAAAATTTACAGAGTACATAAAGTTCTCCCTTTTTTTATTGTATA